CCTCAAATTGTATTTGTATATTAAGATTTCCCATTTGGAAAGAAACAAAAACTTTGCTAACTCACAGGGAAAAATTTGAAGTGTTTTTCCTCAAAATCAGGTGTTTTGTTACTGTTAAAAAAACGCTTCAAAAATTTTTTAGGATTATATTTCAGACAGTTCAATCAAATGATAAATTGATAAGGCATTAATTCATTATATTTTGACAAAATGAAATTTTTGCACACATTTAAATCAAAACCCTATCATTTCTCCACATTCCCATTTTTTGGACTTAATCCTCGTTTCRATGACAGGTTACATATTTTGTTACTTTAAAGACATTTAACAATGACTTACTATTTATTGTTATTGATGTAGGTCTTAAACTTGCATCTTATGGATATTTAAAGGGTCAAATGACTTAAATTTAACTTTCATAATTGATGAAAGTGTCTGCATTAGCTGGGACATCGTGGCCATGACTTTACATTTTAAAGCTTTAAATTTGGAAAAGATGACATCCAAACAGCACATCGCCAGCCGTCAGTGTTCACAATCAATCTAAAGCCAAAGCTGAAAGCAGGAAAAACGGCCCTTATCTTTGATCAGACAGATGAGAAAGAAAACTCATTTATCCAATCTCTCCCACTCTCCAGGTTTAGTTTCAGTGGGTCCTGGGGACAYGGTGACATTTCCACACAGCAGCTGTGAGCGGCCCACCACCAGTTTCTCCACACTGTGTGAGCTGGTGTTTGAAGGCAGGGAACACCCCCAACAACTCCACGGAGAATGACTCCACACGGTTACTCAACAGGTTGAAAAACAGCTGATACAGCGAGCGCTATTTGCATGTATTTCCCAGGCTCTGCTCGACACCAGCAACAGTTTAATGTCATTCACAGAGCGCCGCATTTTTTTCTGCCACTTCCCTGAAACCCGAATCAACAGGGAAACCTCACACTGATGGAAGCACAACTCCATCCACTACAGGTTAAAGGGGGGGAAACCCTCGGATTTGTGAGCGTATAGCCAATCCTGTGACACCCCCTCGTCATGTAAAGCACCTGGATTTTCCACAAGCTTTGAAAACTGGCCCACGTGTAGTGGGATGGGTGCAGGAGGGTTTCCTGCACAGGGAACAGCCAGAACCTTTCAAACAGCACATGACTTTATTTTGTGCATCAAGACAAAATGTTTGTTGCATGTGTGTAAATGCATGCCGCAATAATAATAATAATAATAATAATAATAATAAACTACAATTAATGAAGATTCAATCACAATTATGGCAGGATCTTGAATAAAAAGGTGAATAAATATCACAGCTGAAAGCAGTGCAGTTAAGACTTTGCTCTTTGTCAAAAATCAGAGTTGATTTGATGTCAGGATGCCAGTCAGGAATATATTCACTGTGATGAAACAACAGGCTGTTTAGTTTCTCCGAGGCTGCAGCCTTCAGACAACTCCACATCTTCAAAACAGAAAACAGTCCAGCACGAAAAAAAAAAAAGAAATCCAGTGTTTTCAAATCCATTAAAAAAAAAAAAGTCAATATTTATTGATGCCAAATAGCCGTACTCCATGAAATTGAGGCARCTTCGGCAGGAGGACGGTGAGGAGGGAGCAAGTGTTGATGAAGAAATGTGTCGGATCGTACTTTGTGTAGAAACTGGCGAGAATATACCTGCAAAGAGAGCAGACGTCAGATAAAACCTGCAGTTTCAACACAAAATAACCTTTCRTTAAAGAAAAACAGGTCATTTAAATAAAAAAAACGTTAAAGGGAAGATGTAACAGGCTGCCATGATAATGATAGCTCTCTGGTTTAATCAGCGCGTGTGAAATAAGTGTGAAATAACTAGAGAAGTGGTCATTTCCTCACTGGATGGTTTGTGCTCATCGATGCATCAGTTTGCAAACATTTTTTTAAATCTTCATATCTAATTATTAGAGGTGCAACAATCCATATATCTGTATCGAACCGTTCTACTATGTAAGGAACAATAGAGATTTTAAAAATTTTATTTGATCAACTTGTCTCCTGAAGATGCTGTGTTGAAGGATCAGTGGATCTGTGTTCGACTACTCCACCCAGGCTGCATTGTCGAGCACAGATC